CCCTATACGCGGTGGCCATCATTAGTTTGTCTGGTGCCAATCCTCGCCATGCGCGATAGTGCATTTCCGCAACCGGACAACCGGTCATCCTTCTCCAGATGTTTCTATGCGCATGCACATTTCTATTCACAATTCGTCTCACCGGAAATCCCTTACAACTAGGGGGTGGTGAGTTGGTGCTTCACTGTAAGCACACTGCTCTGGATGGCTTTGCTGTGCACAACCATCCAGACCAGTGAGCCCGAGCCAACAGGGAGGAGGACTGTTAGTAAACAAAGCAGCCCTCCTCCCCATTGGAGATCCTCGGTAATCATCGGGCGCCAGCAGGCAATCACTGGCCGGGACCCCGTGATTGACAACCACAGCTGCAAATGGTGGCACAGGTAGGGTGCACGCCCCTACCTGTAAATGCAAAATCATGTATATATACACATGTGATTTTGAGCACCCTTGACACCCTGTAGCAGTATATCTCCTATAGGGTGGCAGGGAAGTGGTTAATATGTGGTTATTTTTTATCTTTTAGATATACATAGTGAGGCCCCCCTCAAGTATCTCTGGTCCTGAAGAAGCCATGTTACTGGTGAAACGCGTTGACCTACAGGCACTGGAAAAGCACAGTTAATCCACTATGGGTCCTTTGACACAGGGCAGATCCAAGTAGCGGATCTGCTTGCTCAGTGGGGGATCTCTCTGCTGATCCCCACTGAGCAAGCAGATGACAGGTCTGTGTCAGACACAGAGTAGCTCGCTCTCCTCAACGAGCAATCGGATGAAAACGGACCAGCTGTTTGTTTCCATCCGACCCGATACAATGGACAGAAGGGGAATTGGATCCCCATCCATCCCTTTTATGCAGATCGGATGTCTGTGGCTATAAATGGACAAATGTCCGTTTACACCCACCACTCCATAGAGGACAATGGAGGTTCCCATCGGGTCAGCCTGAAAAAGTGGGCAGGTGGACACAATCGGAACATCCCTGTGAAAGAAGCCTATAGAGATACATAACATGAGAAATGACGGCAAGACAGGAGAGATGAGAATACCAACATGTTTCATGCATTAGGCACTAAACCATAGCAAACCCCCCCACACTGCTTTCTCTACATTTAAATATACAAAATCAATTAGCATGTTAACCACTTGCTGACCGCAGATAGCCGAATGATGGCTTCACTGCAGCCGGCCAGTTCTGGGTGGGCATCATATGACGTCCTCCCAGAACGCGCTCTCCTGCGCACCCCTGGGGGTGCACACCCGGCAATCTCCATGATCGCTGTGTCCTACGGACACATCTGATCACGTGGTATGGTAAAGAGCCAATCACAGCGGCCTTTAACCACATGATCAGCCATGTCCAATGACACACTGATCAACAGGAAAAGCAATTTCCAGGTATCAGCTGCACTTTCCTCACGCTGTCACAGCATGAGGAAAATAATGCTGAGAACTGGCAGTTGTCAGAGGAGGGATCTGCACTGATCATCAGTACCCTGATGATCGGGGCCCAGCAGTGCCACCCACCAGTGCTGCCCACAAGTGCCCAGCAGTGCCTGCCACTAGTCAGTGCCCAGCAGTGCCACCCACCAGTGCCCAGCATTGCCACCCACCTGTGCCCATCAGTGCTGCCCACCAGTGCCCATCAGTTCCACCAGTCAGGGCACTGCTGGGCACTGACTGGTGGCACTGCTGGGCACTGACTGGTGGCACTGCTGGGCAACCAGTCAGTGCTGTCAGTCAGTGCCCAGCAGTGGCGCCAGTCAGTGCCCATCATAAGTGCCAGCCCATCTTTGCCACCCATCAGTGCCACCTATCAGTGCAGCCTCATCAACGCACGTCAGTGAAGGAGAAAAATTACCTGTTTGCAAAATTTTATAATAGAAACAAGAATCAGGGTGTGCTTCTTCCCCACATGAGAGCTGGGATGTCCAGCAACATTTATATAGAAGACATTTCCCGCACTCAAGGCACTAATACACCTCCAGGGTTGTGTGGGATCCCTGATGTACAGGAAGACAGGACTTCAGTGAGGAACAATTCCCTCACTCAGGACAGGAAAGTGGCTTCTCCCCCGTGTGAGATCTCTGATGTCTGGAAAGACAGGACTTGTCTGAAAAACATTTCCCGCACTTGGGGCAGGAATATGGCTTCTCCCCCGTGTGAGACCTTTGATGTTTAATGAGGTTGATTTCTGTAAGCAAAATTTTCCACACTCAGGACAGGAATACCGTTTTTCTCCTGTGTGAGATCTCTGATGTAAGACAAGTTGTGATTTTTGTATAAAAACATTTCCCGCACTCAGTACAGGAATATGTCTTCTCCCCAGTGTGCAGTCTCTGATGTACAGAAAAATATGACTTCTGTGAAAAACATTTTCCCGCACTCAGAACAGAAATATGGCTTTTTCCCCGTGTGAGATCTCTGATGTCTGACAAGTTGTGGTCTTTCTACTGAAAAACATTTCCCGCATTCAGAACAGGAATATACGGCTTCTTCTCTCCCGTATGCAATTTCTGATGTCTAGAAAAATGTGACTTCCGCAAAAAACATTTCCCGCACTCAGGACAGGAATACGGCTTCTCTCCTGTGTGACATTTTTTGTGCGCATTAAGACGGCATTTAAAACTGAAGCACTTCCCACACTCAGTACAAGAGAAGCTCTTCCCTGTTGGAAGGCCGGCCCGGTCCCGCACAGTCTGAGGTTCCTCAGGATATGAGGAATCCGATGGTCCATCTACACTGGGTGGTGCCGGATGGACATTGGAGGGAGCCGGGTTTTCTCCTGGACTATACTGTGTGATGTCCTCATCTTCTACTTTCCAGTCTGGAGACAAAGTGAGACAATCCTCGGAGGTTTTCCTCATCTCCCGGCCATGGACTAAAATACAAAGACAAAGAGGATTACTAGACAGGAGCTGATTGGTTCCCCCAAACCAGGACTCCGCCCACATCAGGCAGCTTGGTCTCTGAGGAGCTTACAATTCCACCCTCAAGGGAACTAGGAAATGGCTCCTCTGATCTCCTACCAGGTCATTTCTTTATTCATGGACCTTAGTCAGAGAGTGAGGAAACAACCAGAACTGTCTTTTATAGGAGGGACAGTGATGAGGGGATTATAGGACGAGGGTCCCCACCCCCTCTATCACTCATCGCCATCTTCCCAACACAAGAAGTACTGCACTTCCTTATTTAGTCCATGATTTAGTCATGAAGAACAGCGGGGCTGAGCCCCACCAGAGGTCAGAGAGTGGGGATGGGGGGGGAGAACAACCAAGATGAAGACTGGACTGATCCTGAAGACCACCATCATTGGGGTATTGACTCCTCCCTCATTATCACTTTCTGTTTAAGGGTCCAAAGTTGGAGGATGTTATCACATTATTATCACCATGTAAAAGTCTGTGCTCCAATCACATCATCCGATATAAAATGTCCAGCTGGGAGGAAATGGGTGTAACAAAAGAGAATCCATATTATGTGTATATATAGCAGTGGGGGGGGGGGGGAGAGCAGAAGTCAAGAGTATGTAATGTACAACATAGAGTATATAGTGCAGGGGTCAGGAGTATGTAATGTACAACATAGAGTATATAGTGCAGGGGTCAGGAGTATGTAATGTACAACAGAGTATATAGTGCAGGGGTCAGGAGTATGTAATGTACAACAGAGAGTATATAGTGCAGGGGTCAGGAGTATGTAATGTACAACAGAGTATATAGTGCAGGGGTCAGGAGTATGTAATGTACACACAGAGTATATATAGTGCAGGGGTCAGAGTATGTACAACAGAGTATATATGCAGGGGTCAGTCAGGAGTATGTAATGTACAACAGAGTATATAGTGCAGGGGTCAGGAGTATGTAATGTACAACAACAGAGTATATAGTGCAGGGGTCAGGAGTATGTAATGTACAACATAGAGTATATAGTGCAGGGGTCAGGAGTATGTAATGTACAACATAGAGTATATAGTGCAGGGGTCAGGAGTATGTAATGTACAAACACAGAGTATATAGTGCAGGGGTCAGGAGTATGTAATGTACAACATAGAGTATATAGTGCAGGGGTCAGGAGTATGTAATGTACAACACAAAGTATATAGTGCAGGGGTCAGGAGTATGTAATGTACAACATAGAGTATATAGTGCAGGGGTCAGGAGTATGTAATGTACAACATAGAGTATATAGTGCAGGGGTCAGGAGTATGTAATGTACAACATAGAGTATATAGTGCAGCGGTCAGGACTATGTAATGTACAACACAAAGTATATAGTGCAGGGGTCAGGAGTATGTAATGTACAACATAGAGTATATAGTGCAGGGGTCAGGAGTATGTAATGTACAACATAGAGTATATAGTGCAGGGGTCAGGAGTATGTAATGTACAACATAGAGTATATAGTGCAGGGGTCAGGAGTATGTAATGTACAACAATAAATTATACAGTGTAATGGTCAGGACTCATAATATTGGTATTCAGTAATCAGTGGAATATTAAATGTTTCCTGTAGACAAGTTGCAGAGGTCCCACACCGCTGCCTCCCATCTCCTGAGACTGCACTCAGTGACTTGGGTCTGAGACTATACAGACATATCCCTCCACCCGGCACAGCCAGCAGACCACAGAGCAAGGAACCCTGGGAGAAATGTTCTGTCAGAGATCCTGCTAGACCCAGACATGGGGTAGAATACCCAAAACACACAACCCAGGCACAATCTTCTTCATAAATCCAGTCTAGATACATAAATTGTGTCTGCAGCACAGAGAAGGAAGATTATCCGAGAGAAATCCAGGAATACAGGACGGGGAACACAGCAACGCAAGCCCATGATGACTAGTTAACTGGGGCTTGGGCGACTTACTCTGAGCAATAAAGACCAGCCTGATACACTTTCACAGCCCGCACTATCTCTGGCCACCAGAGAGACTCTACTCCAAGCCAGCTGGCTGACCACAGACTGGTCTGCTAGGTGACCACACACACACAGATCTCCATCTGGCAGATTTGCCAGTTTACAATCTGCATGCAATCTGCCAACACACAAAGCAATTGCATACAGATTGGCAAGGAACTTAGACCGAGCATATAGACACTAAAATGTAAATGTTTTTAATTTAACATCCCAAAAGTGGGCAGTGCATAAAATATATAAAAAAAAAAAAAAAAGAATTACAAAAAAGACAAATACAATTGGCTATTCACTATAAAATGAAAAGGGAATAAAAACCAGAATAAAACTTTTACCAAGATTTATCCTGTAAGTGGAAAAAGTCAAAAGAAAATCCTCGATTCGCCAGTCAAATACAACCGGCTCCATACGAATCACACCGTCCATATCTCAGGGTCCTCAGTTTATTAAAATATGAGCCCTTGGTCAATCAACCTCAGGGGATGTTCCCCTCCCAGCCCACATGACTTTCTGTGTTCTGAAGTGACAAGTCTCAAATGGGCCAAGAATGGTTCTGATCGATGGGTTCGGGGATATGATTTCCAACACCAGCGCGTCAGTCCGATCGCCGCAGTACCAATCATTGTTCAGCTGTCGTAATCAGGCGCCATATAACTATTTTGGGTGTTTCTCTGGGATTCTACAGAGGCTACAAATCCAGTTTTACCTGTATATGGAGCCTAAAATTTTTCCAATCAGAAGAAAGTATTTCCATCTCTCTGCAACTAATATTTTAGCTTTTATGAGAGATGAAATGGATTCCTCTGATCTGTGGATATACTCTCAAAGCTGGCAGACATTTTGGAGCCTTCTGACTTTCCCCTACAGGTCCTTGCAGCTGAAATAACTATAGTTCTTCTTTGAGCTTCAGGAAGGTGAGAAATCCATGTCTACATGGAAGGGATCGTTATACTGGCATCTCGGTGTCACTCCTGGCCTAGAAGCTGCTCTGTCCTTTCAGATGCTAATTGGTGAACATATGTCTCTGACTGATTACTGAATACTGTATCTCTAATAACACGGAATGAAACTAGATCTACAATCACATCCTTCTACAGATCACGTCACATCTCAGCTATTGATAAAATGATTCTACTCTTACATTTATGTTACACCAGAGTATTACAGGCTGATATCACCCAGTCCCCGCCCTACTCTGGACCAATCAGTGAGCAGTATGGGTGGAGGAATGGATTTAGTGTTCATGACCCACCTGTGCTGATCTCTGTAGGAGTGTCCTCCTCTATAAATGTCCCCGTTATTCCATCCTCCTCCATAGACTGGATCTGATCGTCCATCACATACGCCTCTTTTTTTCGGCATTAACATCAAATTCTATATCGATTGGATCTCCACTCTAACATCAAGAAAATTAGATAGAACATCATCTGTAAAAGAAAAGCTCATAAAAAAAAACACACATCATCTCCACAAGTCCATGCTCTAGGTCAGGGGTCTTCAAACTATGGCCCTCCAGCTGTTGAAGAACTACAAGTCCCATCATGCCTCTGCAAGTCTTGCCTGTGGCTGTCAGAATTTTGCAAGGCCTCATGGGACTTGCAGTTCCTCAACACGTGGAGGGCCATAGTTTGGAGACCCCTGTTCTAGGTGATCTGTCCCACCAACCTTGTAATGAAGAGGGATATTGTGATCTTCTTGTGTGGAATCCCGGGAATACAGAGGACGGGGACATCTCTCTGGTGGGTTCCCATGACTGGATCCATCTGTAGGAAACACACACACTGACTGAATCCATTGTTTCTATGTGTTTATCAGATGATGGGGGATCTAGGTGGATCCTCCGTACTGCTCTCTCCTTTACAATAAAGTCTCCTCTTACCCGGTGATGTGAGGGGCGGCTGATTGTCCATCATGACGTCCTTGTAGAGGTCCTTGTGTCCTTCTAAATACTCCCCCACTCCTCCATGGAGAAATAGACAGTGACACCCTGACACCTTATAGGAACCTGACACACACAATGATACAGTCACCATCCAGACACATCCCTTGTCTGTTACTGGAGAATGTCCCAGAATTCCCGGCACCGCTCACCTCTCCTGTCAGCAGCTCCATCATCTTCTTGGTGACTTCTAGAATCTTCTGCATGTTGTGTCTCTCAGGGTTTAGGGAGTCACATGGAGGCACTGTGATGGTCATATGATCACCTGACTTCAGAAGAGGAAATCTCTGTATTGTGGAACCAATAGGAATATAATGTTAGAATCCCAGAATCCTCCTCACCTCTCCGGTTAGGTCTGTGTTTTATTTATAGAGATATGAGTGATGTCATGTCACCTCCCAGAATCCTCCTTACCTCTCCGGTCAGGTCTGTGTTTTATTAACAGAGATAAGAGTGACGTCATGTGACCTCCCAGAATCCTCCTCACCTCTCCGGTCAGGTCTGTCTTTTTAATGGAGACAAGAGTGATGGCATGTGACCTCCCAGAATCCTCCTCACCTCTCCGGTCAGGTCTGTGTTTTACTGATAAGAGATATGAGTGATGTCATGTGACCTCCCAGAATCCTCCTCACCTCTCCGGTCAGGTCTGTGTTTTATTGATAGAGATATGAGTGATGTCATGTGACCTCCCGGAATCCTCCTCACCTCTCCGGTCAGGTCTGTCTTTTTAATGGGGACAAGAGTGATGGCATGTGACCTCCCAGAATCCTCCTCACCTCTCCGGTCAGGTCTGTTTTATTAATAGAGATATGAG